AGAAGAGAATGGATATGTATAGAATCCTCAAAACCAAAAAGAAGGAAAAAACTATCATTTATCTCTTTGGGATGGGTTATGTCCTAAGGTAGGGAGGTATGCTGGATTATCTAGCATGTATTACCTGTCTGGACAAGATCCTCATCACGTTCAAGATCATGACTTTAAACCTTTATGAACACAAGGTATGTGTATATATGAAATACAGACTTTGATATCAGACACTAAATCACTTCCTTTTATAAAGCTCTGTATTAGAGTTTTCCAGAGAAACAGAACCAAGAAACATACAGTAATTGGCTTAAAGGATTGTTGTGGGGGCTGGAAAGTTCAAAACTGGTAGGGCAGACCAGTAGGATGGAAACTCAGGATCTCTAAGTTACAGTCTTGAGGCACAATTCCTTCTTCTCTGGAAAACCTTAGATTTTGCTCAGAAGGCTTTCACCTGGCTGATAAGGTGAGGGCTACCATATCTTTAAGATTATCTCCCTCCTCATAGATCTTAATCCCACCCATGTGATACCTTTGTAACAACATGCAGACTAGTGGTTGACTGAAGAACTCAAAACCATGGCCTAGCCAAATTGCTGTATAAAATTTAACCCTGAATTAAACACTCCAAACAGTCTTCAGTTAATCTTTTTAGAAAGATGGCATATGAACCAAAGGTGGCAAGGTTCCTCCCTGCAGTCATAGCATCCTTCCTAACTTCAGAGGGTCTTCCCCTTGGGGAAGCAGAAGGGAAGAAACCCCTCCATATTCCACACAATTCTCCTCACCTGCCTTTAGTACCGTTTCTAAATAGTTGGCTTCTTTCTGTTGAGTCCCGAAGGAGCCACTTCACTGAGGCGCCTCTCCTGTTTAGCCATTCGCCCAAGCACGTGTCCAAAGTTTTTTTTCTGTAGTTCTCCAAGGTCTTTCAAAAACTCTTTCTATCTCACTGTGTGGATTTCAAGTGAGAACTCAGAAGCATGACAAGCATGACAGATTTTCATGGAGATGATAATGAAGGTCACAGAGATGATAAATGACCAGTGAAGTTCTCAGAAAACCATGGACAGCAGGTATACCACCACTTATATACTTATGTGACTTTGATCAAGTTACTTGCAGTGCCCTGAACCTCAGTTAGTTCATCTGTAAGATGGGGATAAAAATCATAATTCCTTTCCCGAAGGAGTCATGTGAGATTCTTCAGGCCCTTACTATCTACTTAGACTATTTAAGTTAATTATTACAAAGTGATGGACTATCTACAGGCTGTGAGGAAAAGTTTTTGATGATGGACTTCCTGTACCACTTAAACCAAGTATCACCAAGGGAAAATCTGCTATTTCTGCCCATGATAATTTCTGTTTATGAATCTAGGAATTTTATATTTTTCCTCTCCTAATACTCAAGGGGGCTAAGAAGTTAGAGTTTGATATTACTGATAATTCCCAAACATTTTCCCCTAAAATATTAATCATGCAAACAACAGAGGGCAAGAGAAGTGACATCTACTGGATGCCTTCTATGTGCTGGTCCACATACATTGTCTCCTTTAAGGCTCATAACATCCTTGAGAGCTAAATATTTTAATCTTCAGTTTAGAGAAGGGGAAATGGAGGCTTATCGAGATTGAAATAACTTGCCCCAAATTATAGAACAGAACCAGTGCTGCCCAGCTTCAAAACCCAAATTATTGCTAGTTGTACCCTGATGTTTCTCTCAAGACGGTCAGCTCTGGACCTAGTTCTTGCAGGCTGTTGACTCCTGTGCTATATAAAATTACTTTTTGCATATTTGAGACATAATTTTATTTCTTTTACTCAACTAAATTAAATTCTTAATTCTAGAAGGCTGCTCAGGAATTCAATAAAGGACACTGAAATGGGTAGGAGACCTCGAATTATACATGATGAAAGAGAAAGCCTAAAAATGAATGGGGAGATGGATGTTTCAAGTTCCTGATTTCCCATTTGTTTCTAAACTAAACCACTGTTTACAGTGAATGTGTCAGTGAAAGATGTGGAAAAACTAGCTCCTTTCCTTAATTTTTAGACTCAAGTAAATATTTGATAATGATATAGTTAGCAGAATAAATTTAAAAAGTTAAGAAATAAGTGTAAAGTTCCATAGAATGTTCAAAATGAGTAAACTGAGAAGATACAATTCACCACAATAAAAGATCTCACACCAATTAATTCTGAGTTATGGCTTCAATCCCCTCCTTCAACAATTCATCTTTCCATCTGTTCTTCAGTTCAACAACCATCCATTCATTCATCCATCCAACATTTAGTGAATAAAGCCACACTATGGTAGTACTCTTCTAGGTACTGGGATAAAGCAGCACTTAAAGTGCCTGAAGAGGGTTGAGATTACAATAATCTAATAAACAAAAGGATAAAACAAACTAATTTCATGTGCTGACAGACACTGTGAATGAAATCTAATATACGGATGCAGGCTTTGAGGTGGAGACACTACTTGAGGTAGGGAGGGTGGTCAAGGAAGGTCTCCAAACAGCTGGTATTTGAATTGAGACCTGAATGAGAAACAGCTAGATCATCACAAATCAGAAGAAAGGACTCCCGGGCACAGACAGGGTGTCATAACTCAAATGTACAAGCCGTCTTCGTCCGCTCGCGCTGCTGTCACAAAGTGCCATAGATTGTTGCTGTTCAGTCACTCAACTGTGTCCAATTCTTTGTGACCCCATGGACTGCAGGATGCCGGGAGTTTGTTCAAATTCATGTCCACTAAGTCACTGATGCTGGGGTGCGGGTGGAGGTTGCTTATAAACAACAGACACTTGTTCTCACAGCTCCGGGGGTTGGAAGTCTGAGGTCAGGGTGCCAGCATGGTCAACTTCTGGTGGGCCTCTTCCCGTTTGTGGGCCGCTGGCTTTTTCTATCACACGGTGAGGAGCAGCAGAGAAGGCAATGGCACCCCACTCCAGTACTCTTGCCTGGAAAATCCCATGGACAGAGGAGCCTGGTAGGCTGCAGTCCATGGGGTCGTTAAAAGTCAGGCACGACTGAGCGAGTTCACTTTAACTTTTCACTTTCATGCATTGGAGAAGGAAATGGCAACCCACTCCAGTGTTCTTGCCTGGAGAATCCCAGGGACGGGGGAGCCTGGTGGGCTGCCGTCTATGGGGACTCACAGAGTCGGACACGACTGAAGCGACTTAGCAGCAGCAGCAGCAGGTGAGGAGCAGAGAGCTTCAGGTCCTCTCCTCATTCACATAAAGGTGCTAATCCCATGACCTCAAGTAACCTAATCACCCTCAAAACTTGCCCTCCTAAAGCCATCACACTGGGTGGGGGACAGGATTTTGGCACATGCATTTTGAGGGAGACCCAAGTGTTCAGTCCATAATAGGAACTAAGGTCAGAAAGAAGGCAGGAGAGCTGGATGTTCAGCTGTGAAGTCAGAAGGGTGGACAGCACCATGCTAGGTAGAGTCCTGCACTGTTTGAAGGGAGTCTGAATTAAAATCCAAGTATAATGGAAATATATTGACAGGTTCTAAGAGGGGAGGGTGGGGTTGGGTGTGTGCATGACATGATTTGAGTTAGTTTTAAAAATATCAGTCTGGATGCTTGCTTGAGGGTCACTTACAAGGGGACAGGGGGCCTAGTGAGGGTGAGATTTCAGAGGCTGAGATTAACGGAGACTAAAGACTGCTAACAAATCTCAGTGGAAAAGACACACTGGTGAAGAGACACTGAATTTGTTTCAATAATGTCCCCATACATAGGGAAGTGCCTGCTATAAAATAAATTTACTGTTATTTTATCAGCCATAGGGATGATAGGTGGCTGTAGATTAGCAATTATATATATATTAAAAAGACACCTTGCTGTAAGGGACTGCTACTCAGGGCTCTTGGTGCTCCTTAAATGTCTGCCCTGGTGGCTCAGTGATAAACAATCCACCTACCAGTGCAGGAGATGTGGGTTCAGTCCTTCGGTCAGATCTCCTGGAAAAGGAAAGGCGACCCACTCTAAGATTATTCCCTGGGAAATCCCACGGATAGAGGAGCCTGGCGCGCTACAGTTCATCGGGTCTCAACAGTCAGACAGGGCTTAGGGACCAAACAACAACAAAGGAGAGCAACAGTATCCAGGAAATTAAGCCTTTCCTCTGGTCTAAATGCAAAATTGCAGAAACCATTTGCTAAATATGGCAAGCCATCCTTAAGAGGGCAGAGTCTTTCCACGGGCATTTTTAAAGAAAGGTAATTTATCAATTTTTACCTATTATTACGGATAATTGAAGGGAAACTCGCGACTATAGCAATTCATTGATAATCTCCGGCTCAGACACAAGCTATTTTTTTTTTTTTTTTTTTGACACAAGCTATTTTGAAAGTGGTATCTGTAGTTGTTCCGCCTGCAAACTTCCCTGCTCAGCGGTAATGGTGGAGCTTGGGAAGGTGATGGCCTAGGCTGTCCCGTCTTTCAGCCCATAAATCAGCATCATAAACCATCCTGGAAGTGTTGTGATGGCGCTGAATGCATAGAGTGTTCGCGAGCCGAACCTATTGTCGTCATTGCGGGTAGCAGAGGTGAGCGATAAGTCGCTCACACGTCGCGCGGCACGCGGCGTAATAAAGCTTGGTTTGCACCATGTGTGTCACAGATTTCTCGGGGTTTCTCGAAGGTTTTTCCAAGTTCCGCCTTCTCCCCGTTTGCAATCATTCTGGCCGCAGCTGTGCATCGCCTTTGACTCCATCTGTCCTTCCGCTGGGGACGAGTATCTCGCCACACGGAGAACACAAGTTTGGCTCTCCAGGGTAATGATAACCCCCCCGCCCTCTCCGCTCGGCAGGAGCTCACCAGCGTCAGGCCCGCGGCAGAGCCAGTCTCAGGGATGGAGCTAGGAGGGCTGCCCCCTCACCTTCCCCACCCCTAGCCACTCACGCCTAGCCCAGCCTGCGCGATCCCCACCCGCCCCACGGCCCCCATCTCCGGCTCTTCTCACGTTTGCTCTCCTCTCCTCCGCCCCCAGCCTGACCAGGAAAGTGCCCGGCTGCAGCTGAGCCTCGCAGGTGGGAGTTCGCCGGAGTGTGCGGCCGCGTCACGGCGCGCGGAGGAGAATCGGGTCGGGGGGAGGCGCGCGGTCCCCGGCGCCCCGAGACGCGGCGGGCGCGGCCGCCCCGGAGCAGCCGACTGCGCTGCAGTCGGATCCGCCTCTCCCTTCCTCCCGCTCCGGCCCCGCGCCCTCCCGCCCTTACCTTTCCCTCTTCCCCGGCCCGACCCCCAGCTTCTCCGTGTGCGCTCGCTTTAAATAATTTCATCCTTTTTTGGCAAAGGAAATAATGCACCTGTCTTTACCAGGGGGAAACGACCAGCAGAGCCGAACAAGGAACAGATGTAAAAGGAATAAAAGGAGAGAGAAAAGGAGATGAGACTCGTATAAAGAGATCCAGGGGCTCAAAAGGTGGCTGACAGCGGCGGAAGCGGCTCGAGCTCCCCCGGCTTGTCTGCGCGAGCTGCGGGCGGAGGACGTCTTCACCAGTTGCAGAGGTAACCGCGGGAACTCCTGCGTCTGTCGGTTTGTTTGCCAAACAAAGTCTTTTCTTCTTTGGCTCAGACACCGAAGAGGCTCCTGGATTTTTCTGCCACTCCGCCACAAGCTAGCAGTTACCCGGGAGCCTTCCCAAGGAGCTGGCGGAGACATGAGCCCTTCCGGGAGGAGGATGGGTGACGGTCGTCCAGCCTGGAAGCCCCTCCTGCTCCCTGGAAGCAGAGGGTCACCCCGCGGGAGGCAGGGCGGCGGCGCCGGGGCGCAGCGCTTCCTGCTCCGGCTCTACTTGCACGCGTGGCTGTGGGCGGCCTCGGGCTCGTCTGCCCAGGTGTTCAACCTCAGCCTGTCCGTGGACGAGGGCCTTCCTCCGGACACTCTGGTCGGCGACATCCGCGCGGGGCTGCCGGCCACGCAGCAGCAGCAGGAGGGGGGCGGCTTCTTTCTGTCGGAGGATTCCGACGACTCTCCGCTGCTGGACGACTTCCAAGTGCACCCGGACACAGGCATTATCCGCACGGCGCGGCGCCTGGACCGCGAGCGGCGCGACCACTACAGCTTCGTGGCCGCCACGCTGCTGGGCGCAGTGGTGCAGGTGGAGATCCGAGTCAACGACGTGAACGATCACTCGCCCCGCTTTCCTCTGGACTCCCTGCAACTGAACGTCTCCGAGCTCAGCCCACCAGGTACCGCCTTCCGTCTGCCAGGCGCCCGAGACCCGGACGCTGGGCTTTTCAGCATACAGGGCTACACCCTGGTGCAACCGTCCCACCTGCCTGAGGACCCCGCAGGACCTTTCTTCCAGTTGCGCTACGGGGCCCCGGGGTCGCCACCGTCCTCGTCGTCCCTTGAGCCCCTGGACGTGGTGCTGCTTCGGCGCTTGGACCGAGAGGCGGTGGCGGCACACGAGCTGCAGATCGAGGCTTGGGACGGCGGTCGCCCGCGGCGCACCGGTCGCCTGCTAGTGGAACTGCGCGTGCTGGATGAGAACGACAATCCTCCGGTCTTTGAGGAGAGCGAGTACCGCGCCGCGGTGCGCGAGGACGCTCGGCCCGGCACCGAGGTCTGTCGCGTGCGCGCCACCGACCGCGACCTGGGCCCCAACGGCGACGTGCGCTACAGCATCCGCTCCCGGCTGGCGCCCGGGGCAGGGGCTGGCGGCGGGACGCCGGGCGACGCGGCCTACTTCGTGGTGGAGGAGCTGAGCGGCGTGGTGCGGGTGCAGAGGCCGCTGGACCGCGAGGCGCAGGCCTGGCACCAGCTGGTGGTGGAGGCCCGCGACGGAGGCGCCGAGCCCGAGGTCGCCACCGTGCGCGTGTCCATCGCGGTGCTGGACGTGAATGACAACCGGCCCGCCATTCATCTTCTCTTCCTCACCGAGGGAGGCGCCGCACGCGTCTTCGAGGGCGCTCGAGTAGGCGACTATGTGGCTCGGGTCTCGGTGTCAGACGCGGAAGGTGACCCAGAGAAGGATGAGGAGGCCGCCGGGGAGCTCGGTGCAGGCCTCGGGGTCGGGAGCGTCTCGCTGACCTTGGAGGGCGGTGAGGGGGCCTTTGTGCTGCGGTCCGGAGGCTCCCCAGGGGTATTTTTCCTTTGCGTCGAGGGGCCCCTAGACAGAGAGAGCCGAGACCTGTATGATTTGCGACTGGTGGCCACGGATGCGGGATCCCCGCCGCTGAGCACCGAGGAGACGCTGCTGCTCCGGGTTGCTGACCTCAATGATCAGCCGCCTCTCTTCAGCCAGGAGCATTACTGGGCCTCGGTGTCCGAGGCCGCGGCTCCCGGCACCACGGTCTTGTGCGTCAGCGCCTCGGACGCAGATGAGCCTGGCACCGACCATGCCAGGCTGCGCTACGCGCTGCTCCCTCTCCCCGCTCTCTGCAACCCGGAGGCTCCGAGGCCCCCCGCTGAGTGCGGACCGGCCTTCAGCATTGATCCCGAGAGTGGCGTGATCAGCACCGCCCGGAGCCTGGACCGGGAGGCCCAGGAGGCCGTAGAGCTGAGAGTGGTGGCCCACGACTTCGGAGAGCCCCCGCTCTCGGCCACCTGCCTGGTGAGCATCGCCGTGGACGACGTGAACGACAACGAGCCCGTTTTCCTGAAGCAGGTGTACAACGCCACGCTTCCGGAGCACACCGCAGTTGGGCACTGCTTTCTGCAGGTGAGCGCATCAGGCCTGTGGATCAAGGGGAGACCTGGGAAGGGATGGAGAAGCTGTGAGTAAGTTCAGAAAGGATTTTTTGTGTGTGATGTGGATAGTCATACTCAAGCTCAGAAAGCAGAGGGCTCTGGTTCCTGCTCTGCAGGGAGATGAATGGGTGCCCTCCTGGAATCTAGCCCTTCTGCTGGGGCTTGAACTGAAAGGTCACTTAAGATCTTTTCTGCTTCACATGATATTTGGATCTTGATTTTTCCTACGGAATTCTGACTTCCCTCTCTGGATCTGAGCACCCAAATTGGTTTGGGAGGACCCACCCATTCTCAGCTTTGCTTCTGAACTGTGTACCGATGGCAGTATCATGTGTATTTGAACATCATTATGTGCACACTGGGGGAGTAAGGTGGCCCTCACATGTCAGTTTCTCAAATAAGCAAGTGTGTGGCCTTAAACACTGAAACTCTTTGAGTAACCATTTACAGAGACTTACTACACATAGTCCTACCTTCTTTGGAAACTTACAAGAACTAGTTGAGGATACCAAGTCATTTTTACCGGTTGTGGGCTGAATCCTCCAATGATGTCTTCAAGACTGAGGAGGGACGAGTTTCAGTCATCCTTTATAAAACGGGTGGTATCCTCTACAAATGGATCTCAGAATGTTGTAATATGCACCCTTCTAGCAGTAATTCTTATGGCTTCTGATTTCCTAATAGTTATCTGAAGTTATCTGATGTGAGACAACAAACTGGATTTCCAAAACTGTTTTATTTACACCAAGATGATTTGAATGAATAACTCTAGCCTGAGAGGCTAACTAGTGATCAAAGCTGTAAAGTGCCATTTAGCTCTCAGGCTGGGTTGTTTTAAGACCTCTGTAGCTTATTTCTTGGTTCTTAGGGGCTGAGGCTTTAGGCCTTATAAGTCATGTCTCAATGACATTCAGATAATTTAAGATGCCGCTATATTTTAAACATGAGTACCTGACTGGTTTGCTGTCTTTTTTTAATCCTTTGTATCAGTTGTTACATTAGATAAGTGGTATACATAATAATCTCTACCACTTTCTCTGGCACGACTGGCAACTCATTACTTGCTAGGTAATTAAAAGAAGGCTTGAAAATCAATTAATGCTTGCTGCTGAAAGAGGTAGATCTGTGATTGCTGGTGGAAGTTTATTTACATCTCAAGCAGTCTGCTGTGATACGAGTTGGCTGGTCCTTCTCCATCCAAGGTAGGGTCAGATCTGGGGGCGACTTAGATTGGGTCCATCAGTGTTCTGCTGGTCAGAGCTTAGCTATATGGTGCACCGCAGAGGTGGCTAAGAAACAGAGAGGAACACAAGGCTGCCGGTGGGGACGATGGGTCTGCCACAGCTGTCAAAACTGAAGTCATTGAGTTGAGAGGTTGGGCTAGATAATTGCTAAGATTTCTTTCTTCTGAAAGAGCTTAAAGGTCTTGGTACAAAACAGTACAACTTGACTCTATTTGAAGGAAAATAAGCAGGGTGGATTCACTGTAATTCCTTGACTAGAATCTTTTCAAAATTGTGAGATGAATGTGCTATGACGTGTGAGCTTATCCCATCATTATGACTTGATATGTGGATCTGGATCCATTATGGTGAACTGAACGTGGCTCAAGTGTAAGAGTGCATCTTCAATTAAAAAAAAAAAACCCTTCAGGTTACCAAGTATTGCTGTAGGTATTGATATTATTAAATGGCACTGATTAGCATGTCTAGAAACTCCAACAGTTGAGGCCCTCTCGATTGCAGAGACCAGCTTATCCACAGCCCTCTGGCGGCCTCGCCACAGCAGCTGTGTGAACTTTCTGCACTGCGTCAGCTCTCTGGCTGACTCTGTCCCTCAGCTTCTCACCTGTCCTCCATTTGCTCGCCATTTCTTTGCTCTCAGTTTCTTTATATTGCTTTGTGAAAACAAACCATCCCAGCTCTCTCTGGATCTCTTGGCCTCTCCTTTCTCCTGGGGCTTTGTTTAATTACATTCCATCAGTTCTTATAGCCGAACCTTTCTGTTCTCCTTTACCAGCTTTCTTTCTCTAGATCTCATAATTGTTCAACTCTCCTTGGTCAGAATCAAAGAAAAAGCAAAATGAGAAGCAACAGGAGGGAGAAAAAGCCCTTTCTTGGATTCCCTGTAGGGTAACACCATGTCGCCTAACAAAATAAACTCAGAACCTGAAGATGTCTCGGTGGTTATTCTGGAGCACTCATCCCTGGGCTTTTTCGGCTCTTACTGCCACTTACGGTCACCAATGTTGGCTGAACCCTTCCATAGTCTCAGACACAGACTGGAGCTTTCCAAAGACTTGAAGTGTGGGTCAGAACAAACAGATTTAATACAGACCACAAGAGCCAGTAGCCTGAGTTGGGTGTCTTCTAGCCCGAAAGGGTTTTCCCAGCCCCGAGGGCACTCATCTGGGTTTTTAGTTCGTTGCCCTCCACTGCCCTCCACATGGAGAGCCCCTTCTCCACAACTTGCTCCCCACCCCCCACCCCCACCTTTCAGGATGTCTTGATGCCTTCATGCTCACGGCAGGGAGGGATTTCTGTTCTGCAGTTGTCCTGGTGTTTTCCTCTGAG